TGAAAGAAAATAAATACACGTTCATACTTTTACATTATTCTTCTGGATTTATCTCCTACCTCCCCATCTTCTTATCTGTAATCCTCAAACCCATATTAAAAATATTTGTGTATATACCTATGTATATATGTAGGTAAGTAATGTATGTTTACACGGTCAATAGACTAAAGCATGAGAGAAAGATTTTATACCCAATTTTTATTACGGTTACCTCTGAGGGTAGGATTATGAATGGGCTTTATCTCTGTAATGTTTATAAGCACATAAAAGGTACAAACTGAGCTTGGGGAGGGGGGAGATGATCTGTCATTTACTTTTAATCATTGTCTGAAAGCAAAGAACCTATTCTGATTGGAAATTTTCTCTGCCAACATGAAGTGGCTAAAATTAATTCTGACTGATCATCTCCACTCTTATTATAATGTACCAAGTAATATGACTACTTAATGTTTCATGTAATAACTGAATTCGATTTCTGGGACTATATCTAACCTACCTAGTGAACACGGCCAATATCCCAAATGACTGAATGATGCTACTTACTATAGTGAATCATTCTTTTAGCTCAATAGCTTTCTAGCTACCTGGTAGACTGTTTCTAACCCAGAAGAAAGTAGCTCCCATTTAGAAAGTAGATGTCTGTAAATCATACTGAGCAACAGAGACATTCACCTATGTTTATGCTGGTTAAAAATATTGTAAATTCAGCCTTGCTAAGCCAAAAGGCTTTGGGCAATCTGGGGCCTTGGATCCCTCAATGATCAACTAGGGGAGAGAATTAGACAGTTTTTATCTAACACAATTTATGATCCTCCTACAAATAACACCTGCGCATTTAACGTATGCTAATGAGATAACCGAGGCTAACATTTAGCACAGAGTAAGTGCTCACGAAATGTTCCTTCCCTTTCTGATTCCCCTCATCACAAAAAATACTTCTAATACAGAGAAATCTAAAGTCCCTTGCAGCTATGCTGAAAGTGAGTTAGGCTGCATTCATAAGCACTTTGAACTATTCCTCAATTTGTTGTTTTTATATAAATAAGTTACATTCTTTTATCTGACAGGTTAGATTAGAAGTTAAAAGTTAGTCACTGCTGTCATATGTGTTCAGGGCATTCTATTTCCAGGTCGGGGAAATCAGATCACTTCCATGTATTGCAAGAGAAGATATGAAAGCCCTTCTACCTAGTGGCCAGAGCATGCCCTCTGTGCAGGTCACATCTGGGTTAACATGACCAAAAATAAATGAAAACAATACAAACAAGCCAAAAAAAAAAAAAGTCAACCAGGAATATAAGTTACTAGACAAACTGAGTATTAGGCTGACAGAGTACAGGTCTGATAATCAGAGGGGAAGTCCTGGGTTGCCCCCAAAAGACAGACCAAGCATATACTGAGAGCACTAGTAAAGAAAGGTCATTT